ATATTGATCTTATTTATTTTATAGACTAAAAAGTTCTTTGTGATTATTATCATAGTTTTTCAGGTATTCTCAGAATCAATAGATCAATAATTTTATCTCTAGAAGATTCTACTACATCACGACATGACCACCTTAACTATTTTAAAAACACACCCTGGTTTGAGTCATGATGTTTCAAGCATGATCACCTTACTTGGCCCTGTTTTTTTTTTACCTTAACTGGCCCTTTCTTTTTAGGGAAATTTTTAAAACTAGTACATTCATGATACACTATTTCACTTTTACATTAATCATCTTTACCCTTAAAATTTTGATAGTCAAAGACCATAGTATCCTTAATTAATTTTGTAGAAAATGTATAGTTTAGAATTTAGGGTTAAAGGGTTAAGAATTTAGGATTAAGGGTTAAGAATTTAGAGTTTAGGGTTTTGAATTTAGGGTTAAGGGTTTAGAATTTAGGGTTTAGGGTTTATAATTTAGGGTTTAAGATTTCGAATATAGGGTTTAGGGTATAGAATTTTAGGGTTTATAATTTTAGGGTTAGGGTTAGGGTTTAGAGTTTAGAATTTAGGGTATAGAATTTAGGGTTTAGGGTATATAATTTAAGGTTTAGGGTTTAGAATATAGGGTTTAGAGGGTTTAGGGTTTAGAATTGATATTTTAGGGTTTAGGGTTGATTTTTAGGGTTTAGGGTTTGAATTTCGAAATAGTATCATTAAAAAAAAAATATTTTTTTTTTGCATTTTTTATTTATTTAAATATTTATTTTTTTATATATATAAAGAACAAGGATATAAGAGTCTTTTATCCTTTAATGAAAAGTATATTTTTGAAAATGTCTTTCTTCTTAAGATAAATATGAATTAGTGTATACAAAAATATGTATTTATACAATTCTCCCTTCTTTTTAAATGCAACTTAGAGGTTCTAAAGAAGGCCATGTGCATTCAACCTTTGGGAATTAGACTTTGAGTTTAGCGACCGAGCTTATGAAAAACACCACAACCGCAAATTATACCAAAACTACAAATAAGAACACATCAGCTGAATTTTTACAGAACTCTTAGATATGGAATGTCAAAAATAAGAAACAATTACACCTACAAACACATTATAAGTTTATAATGACAGCTATAAGACACTTTGAGTCAACCACATTATAAGTTTCTAATGACACCTATAAGACACTTTGAATTGTAGAGATACTTTTAACAGATGAATTAACCAATATACCCCTAACTAAAACCTAAACGAACATTCATCTTCTAAGTTTTTTTTTTCTTTTCATTTTCCTTTTTTATATTCACCAAAACTCTAAACTACTGTAAAATCAAAAGTTATTGGCGATAACTTCCATTTAATTATTCAGTCTTGTAAAGATAAAGAAGAACACAATTGATTAATCTTTTCTCATCTGATTCTTGCTTCTTTTCATTTTATTTTATTATCTTCGCCATCATAATCAAAACTCTAAGTTTTACTTCTTTTCTTTAAGCTTTATTGTCACCGGCTGATCCTCAGTTTGTGTCTGAACTCTTGGTCAACTTGTGCCATTGTGTGTGGTCTGAGCCATGAACTTCAAAGCTGAGTCCATGTGTATCATGACAATCTCTTCACTTTTCATTCGTCAACAGCATCTCCAATACGCAGATGAGTCGTGGTTGGACCACTACTCCTCCATGATCTCCTATCGCTGTGATTGTCGCTTCGGCGGAACACCTTTCGAAGCTCCGAAGCTGTTGTTGAAATATAAAATCGGTCTTTGTCTCTCTCCGACACGGATCCAAGTCAATAAGCTCTTAACTGAATCCATGGCCATGAGAAGCTCCTTTATCGTCGTAGGAATCACTGTCGCAGCTCCATGTTTTTTGCAGATCAAAAGCTTAATTAAAGAGCAACAATGGTCAACTTTTACTTATTTGCACATTGGATCTTCTAACTTTTTCTTTGTTTTAAATTTCACCATAAACTCTTGAATTTTCTTATAAATCCTCTTTAATTAACCCTAAAGTATTAATTAGATGAGATTTTGAATTTTGTTTCGTTAATTAATCTGCAATTTTGACTTGTGGATGAGATTTATGCTTTGTGTGTCCAAAATTTTACCATTCACAACACGTAATGTTCATGCCTAACCCGTCTACAATTTCTCCTGTCCACAATTATACCATCTGCAACACGCCATCCACGAGAAAACTGTTTACATTATATTCACTCACATACCATTGTCCATTTGAAACCCGTTTATTATATATTAATCCACATATCACTACCCACGAGCCACCCGTCCACATGACAAAAGGAAGTTTAAAGATATTCTTGAATCAGTATTCCATATGCTTTCATACATGGTTCATAAGATCACAAAAGTCTAAGACCGTTCCATACTTGAGATTTCACTTGATTGTACAAAAACTTTAAAACATAAACATCCATTTCCATTTTTTTTATGTCCACCCCTTCTTGTCGACAAATTATTTTTTCTATCTCTAGTCCACATAAATATGTCCATGTTTTTGTATCCATAAAATTTGATTTAAAATTATTTAAAGTATATCAAAATGGATCTCAAATTATAGAGAATAAAAATATATAACTAAATGTACCAAAATATGTTAAAGCTTATAAATACATTAAAAACAACTAACAAATGCATCAGAGAATATGTTGGCTAATAACAAAAGCAAAGAAATATAAAACTTTTGCTTGAATCCATTCCTGTCCCTCTCTTTCAAAATTGTGTGGCTCAGCATCACTTTCAAAACTGAAACTAATACGAACCTAGTCAATTTAATATGTTATCTAAACTAGTGTCTTCTTTTTGGAAGGTCAAAAAAGTCTAAAATTTATCTAGTAAACAGAGATAGTGTCTTTCCAACATAATGTATCTTATAATGCAAACAGATACATAAAAGTGTCTTATAACGTAACTCACTCCAAAAATAAACTACCAATCCATCTTTTGAAGTAAGGAAAAATTTACCAAGGAAGTCAACACGCAGATTGAATAATGATGTTTTTGTGTGAGGCCTATTTCATTAGATATTGAAGTCAACACGCAGATTGAATAATGATGTTTTTGTGTGAGGCCTATTTCATTAGATATTGAATGAAGTTGTTTTTGTGTGAGGCCTGTTAAATTAGATGGTACTCTCCAATATCTTTTAACTAATTAAAGACACAGTATGTTATACTTACATAAACAATATAATGAAAACACAGTATGTTACACGTCAAACATATTGGAAATGCAGACAGTCTTAGCAACTAAAGTGTAAACATAGTTTGACCCAAAAAGTGTAGACAGATCAAACACCTTCGTGCTTCTAATCATCATGTTTCTCAAGAGCATCTATTGACAGAACCACTCACTCTGTGATGAGATGGTAAAGAGCACCAAAAACAAAGATGTGCTACAAATAACAGACGTTAAAGTTTTAGGGAACGGTGCAGAACGTAACACACATGACATCAACGTCTCTTTAAGACAATCACATATTGCATATTGCACATGTACATTAATATGTAAAATTTTGAAAATAGTTATTATATATAGTATAAACGACTAGTTATTTTTGGATAGAAAAATATTGATATGTTTTAATAGTAACGAAATTATAAAAATAAATTTATTACAGATAAAATTAATTAATTATTTACATAAGGAGAATTTGTTAGAATACATTGTCATTTGAAATAGTTATTAATGTTGAGTATAAATAAAATTAATTGATTGTATTTTTAAGAAAGATTTTGTTTACAATAATTAATACTAAAATTTAGAATTAGTTAGTTTTTGTTGGCATTAAGGCTACTTAAAATATTATTTTTATGGTTAGTTCATATTGGTACTTTAGCATTAATAAAATAGATTTGTCACATCTTTTGGTATTACTTTTTCTAAGACCATCTCTAGTAGTCCCTCATTCTGAAGGAAAACATAAAAGAGAAAACACATTTTCTAATAATGTATATTGAAGAAAAAAATGAGGAAACAAATAGTATTCCTTTAATTTGAGTAAACATTACTCACAACTGCATTTTTACAGTTAAAATATTATTTACAAAATAATTCAAATATTATGTATTTTGTTTGATATTTAAAAAATTAAATATTTGTGTTATATACTTATAAATAAATATTAATACTTTCATAAATATAATATAAGTCTATATAAGTCACTGTTTATTCTATTAGAAACTAAAGTTATGTATATAATAAAGATTTAATTACAGTAAAATTAGAACTGGATATAATTTGTAAGTTTTTAAAATAAAAAATATTAGAATTGATAGTAAATACTAATAATAGAATATAATTGGAATATTAGACTATTCCTTACAAAGGGAAAAATGATGATAACCATAAGAGTTAAACTCAAATTATCTCATTCAAGAGAAAATTTGAAGGTAACCATTGGAAAATCTCATTAATAATATTTTTTTATTTTCTTCGTAGAAAAATATTTTTTATTTTATCACATGAACAAGACGAGGATTCAAATTCTATATATATCTGTTTGATTGTTGCTTTTTAAATGAAAAAACTACTTTTAAGTTTATTTAGTTTAGGTATTGTTACATTATTTAAAATTGATGGATAGATATTTTGGATCCAAACTAAATCCAAACAGTATTCATATAAATAGTATGTCCTAATAAATATTAGAGTTGAAAAGAGAATCTGATGTGTTCTGAACTATACCAAATCCAAAATATAGTAAACGCAAATCAATTAAAAAGATACAATTATTTTCAAATTAAGGCAGTTAATGCCTCTTGGCTATGGTTATGGTCCTTATGGAGTCTCTTAATTTTTGTTTTCCAACAGTCGAGCATCGTCAGAGACGGTTATCAACCATTCTCAAACTCCAACGCTTGACGACTCCAATGTGTTTTTTTTTAACACAGACCTGAGAATATTAACTAAAGCTTATATATATGGGTTTTTTCTCTCCTTCAATTGATCTTTTCTTTGGTCAAACACAATATTTTATAAATCACCACTCTCCATCTATGGAGAAATTGTTTACATCAATAGATAACTGAGCCATACTGGCTAACATCTGTTGCAACAATCGCAAAGCAAAAAAATATAAACTGAAATACAAAGGATAGTAGCATACAAACATTCAAACAAACATAATCATAGAGCAGTCCTCTAAAATCAATGACAAGATTGCTAGAAGGTGAGATGATGCCTTCAGAATCAGAGAGCACATTCAGTGATCTAATACCTGGGATTGAATTCGCAACTAATGCAGAATTATCAATCAGAACTTCGGCTTTACAATCAGGAGCAACAAAGCACTGATTTAATGCGCCTTTTAACATAAAAAAAGCCACAACATTTGTAACCTTCCAATAAGACTTCCCTGCGATGTAACCACTATAAACAAGTGGAAAATATAGGAGAAAAACATAAACCGTAAAGGAGAAACCAGCTAAAACCACTTGAGAAACAAGACTGTATACCACAATATGGAGTTCGCATAACCCAAAAAGAAGCTATTACCAGCCTCAAAGATATAACCAAAGGACACTGAGTCCATCCGCACATCACCAATTAAAGCAAGAAACAATAAATCCAGTGTCACCCACACATCAATCATTACATCATATTCAATAGAAGAGGGGTAAACAGAGATTGAAGAGCTAAGGTGGACCTGGTGGCGGCGGATCTGGAGGAGGCCTGGACTGTGAAGGAAGAGGAGCTGTCACCATCATCTTCAAGGAGGAGGAGCAGTGCTGCATCAAGCCAAAGAACAAGCGACGGGGCTGGAGCGGTAGAGATCCATCCGAAACGGCGTTTCTCGGGACGTGTGCCTGGGAGGTTTTTTTAGGGCGAACTCCACATACTATGGAACTCTCTCTCCTTCAATTAATCTTTCGTTATCTTGTAGTGCTTTTTCTTTATCGTTTTGTCGTCTAGTGCATTTCCAGTTGTAATCGTGAACCTTTAATATAATATAAAAATTATATTTTGACCCGCGTTTTGCAAACGCGAAATATCTTTTATTTGAAAAACTTCACTAATAATTAATAAATATTTTGTTAATTTAAAAAAAATATTATGTATTTAAAATATGTTTGCATTTTTTTTTTTGTCAAACTAGTACTTGCATTAAAACTTAAAAGAACCCATCATTCAGTCTACATTCAAAATATGATCGAGGCCAGCCCTTGCAAGGGTGTCTGCCTGAAGATTTCCTAAACGAGGTAAAAACAGAAAAGATAGTGGACAGAAGAGAGTGGCAAGGTTCCTAATATCCATGAGGATACCTGCGATCTCATTCACATCCTGCTCTTCACGAAGAGCCGAGACAAGAACTTGACAGTCCGAAAAGATTTGGAGGCTCTGAAGATGTAAATCTTTGGCCTTCTCAAGAGCTTCACGCATAGGCAAAGCTTCTGCCATTAAAGCTGAACATACATGAGTACGATTCGCTGAGCCTCTGCAGAGAACTTCCCCTGCTTCATTCTTGATGATCCAGCCCATACCTCCTGACTTTGAGCTTTCCTGCCATGCGCCATCAGACCAAAGAGAGGGAGTTCCCAAAAGTCGTCCCGTATCCGGAGCCTTGCGCAGAAGGGGTTGCTTTTTCTTCGAGTTTGCTTCCTCCCAAGCTCTAGCATCTATCACTGATTTACAAATGATTTCGTCATGCTGGTACACCTTACCTTCGAAGATCAACTTGTTTCTAGCTGACCAGAGGTTCCATAAGAACCAAGGGATGAGCGGTGAAGAAGTGATAGCTGTTGGGGGGAGGGCTATTTGTTTCACTACTGTGGGAAGCCATTCTCTGATAACCACCTCCAATGACCCAGGGAAGGGGCCTAAAGTGGGCGCTTTAGACCAGAACTCAGTTGCAAAAGGACAGGAAATGAAAACATGTTCAATGGTTTCTTGTTCTCCACATCTTTTGCAGCTTAGTTCTTCATTTATGCCTCTTATAGCAAGGAGGGATCCCACATGCAGTGCCCTGTTAAGCATCCTCCACAAGAAGTGCTGAATCTTGGGTGGAATATTAAGCTTCCAAACCCACTTCATCCAATCAAACAAGACAGGGATCAATCCATTTTCTGCTCAAAGATTTTCCTATAACCTGATTTAGTGGAGTACTTTCCTGAAGGATCAGGCAGCCAGACTTGTCGATCCCTTGGTTTCAAAGAGCTGGGGATGAGTAATCTGATAATATCCTCATAATGAGGTAAGTGCAGTCGAATCTTTTCTAGATCCCATTCATTGGTCTGCCTGTCTAGGAGGTCCGCCACCCTTAAGTACTGGTTGTTGAGTGTTTTTCACTACTCTCCAGGAAGGAACACTCCGGGAAGTATTTACCTTTTAGAACCTTTGCTAGCAGGGAATTAGGGTAGCAGAAAATCCTCCACCCAAGTTTAGCCAATAGCGAGTCATTGTAGTCTTCAAGGTTTTTGAATCCGAGACCTCCTACCCGCTTTGGTTGAGCCATAACGTCCCAAGCAACCCATGCAATCTTCCTTTTTTCAGGAGAGCTATCCCACCAGAAACGAGTTAGAATTGACTGGATCCTTTTACACAGTGAGATTGGGATCTTGAAGCTTGACATCGAGTAGGTAGGGAGGGATGTTAGTACTGACTGCAGCATCACATGCTTTCCTGCGCCTGAGAGGAATCTCGTTGTCCAAGACTGAGATCGTTGGCGGATATTATCAACCATCCCCGTGAAAACGTCCCTCTTTCTTCTTCCAAAAGTTTCTGGGAGGCCCAGATATTTCCCCATTCCACCTTCTTGTGCAATTCCCAGCGTTGCTTTTACTCTCTCTCTTATTCCTTGCGGGGTTTTGGAGGAGAAGGTAATGGTGGATTTGTTCAGATTGATGCACTGGTCTGAGCTGAGTTCATACTCTTTAAGGATTACCCGCAGCGTGTTGCAATTCCTCTCATTTGTTTTACAAAACAGCATTGTATCATCAGCAAACAACAGGTGACTGACATACGGACTTCGTTGAGAAACTTGTAGTCCTAGGAGCCTGCCATTATCCTGTGCATTTTTGCAAAGACCAGATAACACTTCTGTACACAAAATGAACAGGTAAGGAGAGAGCGGATCTCCTTGACGGAGGCCTCTTGAGGGAATGACTTTGCCATGCGGAGATCCGTTAATCAGGAAAGAGTAAGTCACCGTAGTGACGCATTCCATGGTCCAATTTATCCAAATATCTCTAAACCCCATTTTCCTCAGAACTTCTTTGAGGAAGCCCCATTCAATGCGGTCATACGCCTTGCTCATGTCGGTTTTAATGACCATGGAGCATCTCTTCTTTGCTTCTGATTTCTTCAAGAAGTGCAATGTTTCATGTGTAATTAACACATTGTCCGAGATAGCTCTTTCTGGGACAAAAGCCGTCTAATGCTGGGAGATCACTGTCGGTAAAAACTGTTGTAACTGACTCGTAAGAATCTTAGCAATGATCTTGTATCGGACATTACAAAGCGCGATCGGTCGGTATTCTGCTGCTGTCTTAGGTGCCGACGTCTTCGGGATCAGGCATATGTGTGTCTCCGTGATTTGAGGACTCATAGAGCCTGAAGTGAAGAAACTCCGAATCTCTCGGTAAACATCAGTACCCAATAAGTTCCAGAAGGATTGATAAAAACTCGCCGAAAATCCGTCAGATCCTGGTGCCTTATCTGCGTGGATATCATAGATGGCAGCTCGTATCTCGTCTTCCTCAGGAATTCGGCACAGGGAGTCATTCATCTCCTCCGTTATGCAGTTTTTGATCGTCTCTTCTACCGTATGATAATCGTTGTAACCGTTGGACGAAAACATATGCTTGTAGAACTCCTCAAACACCTTGCTTATCTCCTCTTCTTCATGGACCGGAATTCCTTCTGCATTCTCAATAGCCGTTATACAGTTCCTGGCTTTTCTCTTTTTCGTTACAGCATGGAAGAAAGCGTTGTTTCTATCCCCTCCCTGGAGCCATAGAATTCTACTCTGTTGCCTCCAGAAGAGCTCTTCAGCTCTGTAAGCTTTGGACAGAGCTTCCAAGATCTCCTTTATCTTCCCCACGTCTGGAACTATAGCAGATAGTTCCTTTTTCTAGCTCTGATTGCTTCAGCAGTATGTCCTTTGCATTTATTTCCTTCTGTTCCTTCGCCCATTTTATGATTTCATATCTGCATCTCGAGATCTTAGTTTCCACATTTTACACTACCCCTTTCTCCACGCCGCCTCTATTATTTTCCTTGCCTCCTCATTCTCGTTGAGCCTTCTGTCATATCTAAACGGTCGTTTTCGCTTCCATTTTGTGGAGTCTAAGAACGTCATAAGTGGACGATGGTCCGAACCCTCATATCGGAGGTAGTGACAACAGCATGCGGGAAAAGCATCCGACCATGCTAAGTTTGCTAGTGTTCTATCCAGTCTTGCCTTGATATCATGTGTATGTCTTAATGTCTCCTGCCTCTCCAAGATAGCTCATTACCGGTGTGCTTCACGTCCCATAATCCGTTCACGGAGACAAAACTTCTAAAGGGGATGAACGAGCCTTCACATCTTGTTGGGCCTCCTTCCTTTTCGGAATTATCCAAAATATCATTAAAATCACCCGTTAGGGCCCAAGCTGAGTCTCTTCCTTGGCCCATACGCGAGATCTCCTCCCAAAAATCTGCCCTCTTCTCCTGCTGCGGGGCTCCATAAATAAAGGTCATGAAGAAAGAGTTTCTTTTGTAGACCACCCTCGTATCAATGAAATTTGGAGAAGAAGCTAAGATTGTTAGATTTATCTCATTTTTCCACAGCAGTGCCAGTCCTCCGCTGAGTCCTGTTGGTGGTACTAGGAAGTAGTGGTTGTACTCAGGAGTTTGAAGATTTGAAAGAACAAAAGCATCTTGATTTTTTGTTTCCATAAAGTACATAATATCCGGAGCTTGAAAACGTCTCAGCTCCTTAACCCTAGGAACTGTCAAGTCACTTCCTAAACCTTGACAGTTCCAACTCAAAATCGCTAAGGAATTTGGTCTGGTGGATCGTGAAAATCCACCCTACCACGGCTAGTCCCTGTTACATTCACCATATCAGGTGCAGCATCATCCTTATTACAAGGTAAATTTTGGGGAAGATCATTCCTCTCTACACAAAGCTTTTTCCTTGCCGGTGGTCTGCCTCTTGTTGCTCTTTGCTTGGTGGTGCGTACCCCTTGAAGTGGGCTTTTGTTTCCACGTCCTCGTGTTGCACCAGTGACCTTTCCGGTGGTGCCTCTTTTTGCGGGTTGTCTTGCTTGAGTTGCTTGCTTTGCTTGAGTCGCTTTTAGAGTTGCTACTCTTGGAGGGTTA